GCGAAAGAGTGGTCCCTGCTATTTTCTTAAAGCAAGTACATAAAAAATTAAAATTTTCAGGATGTATACAACTTGAGTAGCTCTACCTAACCAGCGAAAGATATGGGTCTTCGTGGATCTTCGCGTCTTTTACATAATACCCAATAAAAGCTATGACATACCTAGTTTACCAGTATAAAATTTACTACGTTCGATAAACTGCATATAAAATGTTAAAATACCCATAAGAATAAAATAACTAAATAAAAAAAATTCGGTTTCTTTTTCTTGAAAATAACTAGAATTTCTTACGCTATAACGCAAAGAATTAGTACTGAACGTGATTTTGGAAATGGATTTAACCAATCATAGACTAAAGCATAGCCCGAAAACAAACATGCAATAAATGAGATATAGAGACGACCATCCATTAATTTATAATCTTCAGTAAAATTAAGTGTCTCTTTGAAATACTAGATTTAAACGTAAAATAAGAATTTATATATACAAAAAATTGAATCCTACTTTTTTGCATGCATCATCTAATGCATTTTTGACGGCATTTGATTCCCATTTATTGACTTTTATTGGTTTGTCAGCTATATTATTAACTATTGCCTATTATACAGAAAAAAACATAGATTTCTTTAAATAAATAAAATAAGTTAATTATTGAGCTCACAGTATCGCTCATTGTGTATTATAATCTAGAATAAACGAAATAAAGACTATGCTTTTTATAAGAAAAAAATATCCTAATTTATATGTATATGTTATTTATTCTACAGAAAAATACTCTATATCTGACATGTTTATATCTAATCACATAAGTTCATTTAGTTTTCTGCATCTTCAATCTTTGGTGCCAAATAGAAACGAACATGACCCATTTCAGCAATTTTAAATTCACACACTAGAAAATAGAAAGATTATTTTTTTATATTAATAAATAAAAAAAAACATACTTAATGGTGTATCTTCCGAAAGACTTAAACCAACTTGAGGTGAAAGTGGTGCTGCCTTACAAAACATACTTAAATATCGTACAGCAAATGTAAGTGCAACAGCTTCTTTCATTTCAATAACAACTGCTTCTTCTTCTTTTTCAATATTTGTTGTTTGAACAAGACGAATACTTCCTTGACCAAGATCACCTTTAGCCGAAAACTTAACACCTTCTTTTGTTGTACAAACAAGAACTGAATCACCCATAATACTCATATCACGACAAATACGAGAAAATTCACTACTAGGCATTTTAATTGTACACGAATAATCAGTATCTGGAATACCTAAATGTTCACTATCTAAATCCATTAAACGTAATTCATAATCAGCAAATTTATCTTGATCTATAAGAAAAAAAACAAAGATACAAAAAAATAATTTCTTTCGAATATATTACTTTGTGATTCCATCGCAATTATAATTGAATCTGAATCATCATTAACACGAATAGTTAATGAATCATCTTTGCCCATGGTTTTTAATACTTTAGACATACTAACAAGACTAATGCCAAGACTCATATTTCGATCACATCGATATGATTCAAAACCTTCACTTCGCATAACAAGCGATACTAATGCAACGTGAGAACTATCCATAGCTTGTAATGTAATACCATTGCCACTACATTCCCATGTTGCTTCATTAACTAATTCCCGAAGACCTTCAATAACTTTAGCAAAGATTGAACCGTGTAAAAGACGAGCCTAAATATAATAAATAATAGAATTATAGAATTAATCATAGAATACATACTTCAAACATAATTGATTTTTAGAAAAATAGATAATTTAGGAGCAATAATATAAATGAATATTCTTTTAATGCCGATATTTATTGCTAGTATTATGGATTATATGGAATCTTTATTTCTTTGTACCTTTGTGTGTTGTGTATTATTATGAATCGTGTTAGAGAGCTAAACCAATAAAATATGTGCACATATTCAAAACCTAGAGGTCGTCAGTTTCTATTCTGTGTATATCGCTGAGACAGAAAATAGAAAATATTATGAGTCAAATCTTGATTTTGTAGAGTTTTTAATGTTACTAAAACGACGTGTTAGAATCGATGATGGTAAACATTGTTGAGTTGCTACATTAAATCGTACATTACGTTTTTTAACTGTTTTTGCAAACTGAAATAAATCAAATTAAATGATATTTATTATTTGAATTTTTATGTTAAACTAACATTATCAACGAGAAATTGATTTGCTTCTATGATAGTATTTCGATTAGCAGGATAGATATTGACACGAGTATCAATCAATGGTGGAACAGGACGATTTTCAGTTTGAATAGCACGATATGAGACATATTTTGAAAGAAGTTTTAAATAATAAAATGAAAGACAAAATTTTTTTCCAATATCATATAGAAATGGAGAAAGTAATGGTGACATGCCAGCTTTAATACCATTTTTTGTTGTTAAATGTATTAATCTATTTCAAGAATGGAAAATAAAAATAAAAAAAAGATTAATTCAATATATTACTTAGAATTAATTAATAAAGTATGAAGTGTTACATGAATATTTCTAGTAATTAGATAGACTTGTTCTTCATCAGTTTCGAGACGTCGAAGTTTACCAGAATTTTGAGATTCATTTGAAATAGAATTTAAATTTGTTGTTTTTGGTTGTATATCAGTTTTTCCATCAAATGTAGCTGCCATTTCAAGATCATCAAGATTACATTGTAATCTTCCAATACTTGATTCAAGTAATGGAACTGTTTGAAATAATAGATGAGGATAATGTTGTATTGTATGAGTAATATATCGAACTTCATGTTTAAATCTATTCTAATCATTGATCAATATTTATTTTATTCATTTGAAAAATATTACCTGTACATTAGTTTACGTAATTCTTTGTGCAATTCAATTACATCAGGTTCAACAGATAGATGATGTCGAGTTGCACACATATATGGTGCACGAATTTTAAATATATCATCATCTTCATTAGATTGACTACGTAAACGTAAACCATTGATAGCTGTAATAAATCGATAGACATAGAGAATATTAATAACAAGACGAATAATTCGAGAAGAAAATTGAACCATATCAGCAAGAAAATTTAATGAAATACGAGGATTTTGTTTTGGTGCACAACCTTCGAATGATTTATAAACCATAAAAAAAAGAAACTTATGTTGCCAATTGGAATTATAGAGAAAAAAAACTTTTTATTAATACAGCGCTCTTTTTGTACACGATAAAAACAATTGGAATTCGAATATACTTAGTGATCCATTATTAAAGTGATTGATGCATTTATCTGAAGTTACCGTTTATATAAAAGTCATATTGGTATTGTACTTCATGTTGATAAACGGCTGCATGAATGTGATTGTTCAATGTCAGCAAGGTAATTCCGTACTACATATATACTAAATATGATCAGTATAATTTGATGTTTTTAACTCAGATTTAAAGGTCGGACGTAATATTTAACAAAATGTTATATCGAGTACCTTTCTTTTCAAATAGAATTTGTCTAATCGTACCGTTATATTTTCTATAATCCTATTATATGATGAGCGTAAAGTGTCTAACATTCTAATTTTTTGTATGCTTTTGAATTGATTCTATGATTAATTGTTCAACTTGATCTTTCAAGATTTCATGTTTTTCTAATGAATTTTTGAAAATACTTTTTAGTTCAAATATAAAAGATCAAATAAATATAATCATTAGGGTGTGGATTTAAGTATTTTATATTCATTCTGCACCGGCACTCATA